TCTCTGGATTAAGACACTAGTTGCGGCTGTGCCCACCTGCATATCAAATGCAGCAATCAACGAGATTCACCACACCTTCTTTTGGAGGGACCTCTACATTCCCATTGAGGTGGTTAGGTTGACATTCCATGATACCAGTGTAACGGTGAAAAGATCCTGTCGTTTAGGCTAGTTTGCACAAGGTATGGTAAAGACTCCTTTTGACCAGTGTTCCACGCCCTCAAACGAGCAGGGAAATATTGCAAAGGAATTACAATACCCACTCAATATGCCTTAGGGACAGAGAAGAAAGATTAAAGGATATATTTAAGGCCATCAAGGCTAATGTACGACCGCACATGGCTGGCTAGCCGAACAACCTCCTCGTGGTGTCAGCTGGGTGGTTCGGGTTTAACCCGTTCCAGCAAATAGTTCGGCGGCAGTGTTCCAGGACGTGGTGGGTTTTCGCCTGGCAAGCGTTCTCCCTATAAAAAGCCACAAATGTCTGCTTATCAACACTGCGACGTGGCGGATGTGACTCGCCACAAAATAAAGTCACTGGCCCGTGGATATCCGGAAAGTGTTATCCAACCCAAGGACATCAATCGCTTATGCTCACATTCCTGACGATAACAAACAATCAAAAATGCTGCGGCACATTCAAAGACGCAAGCTACATTCATACACAATAACATACGTATATACACCCATACACTTACATACACTGTTATGCCAAACATGTACTTTTGTACATTTTTGATCACACTGTTAGCCAAACATGATCATGCCTGTAAAGGTGTGTCTCGCAAGGTCGAGAATAAAAGTTTATTTATTTATTTAATTGTGAAATCGAATGGTTGTGTCCGATGTGGTTGCGATTAGCGAAGGCGTTGTCGCCGCTACGTTCATATTTTGAACCAGTGAAGTGAAAGTAAGGAGAACCCGATCAATGCATGCTCGAGTCCGATTGTGTAAAGTGGCCTTCCTACCAGTGTTTGCTCTTTGAACAGAAACGTACTGTGGCGGTAATGAATCGTAGTTCTGATGACCGAGGGAAGTCTAATCTGCATTGATTCAAATTGTTACATCGCCCACAACAATCGATATCAGTTAAGCCATTAAGGCGATTCAATGATATTGTGCACCTACATCCGAGTCAAGAGAGCGGGCACAGTGCGCTCTGCACTGGTGAAAAGTACACCACCGCCGATCAATTAATTGGTAGAATTGTCAGGCCAACTGCCAAAACGCTAGAGAATAGTGCGAAGAACAGAGTTCACGCGACAGCAATCTACGGTACCATTGAATCTACATCCAACTCAGAAGTTCTCGATTGGTATTGACAACTGGAATACTTCGGTAAGTAGACGAATATTTTAAGTGGGGAGCAGTCGAGTTCAGATGCGAAACATTGACCGTCAGATATCTAAAGAGACGGAAAACCAGGTCCTTACCACGAGCACGTAACTGGCTTTGTGCTCCCCTCGATGGTCAATAATATTTTAGGGGTATGGATACCGAAGCTTAGCACGTCATATCATATGGTCCGTGAGGGGGTTTAAAAGGACAACGAAAAGAAGAATGTCAACTTGTTTATCATAATAATCACTCAGCTGGGAAAACAGCTCAAAATGCGTATCAGTTTTATCCATCTGCATCGCTTGATGCAATTAATAAAGATGTCGTCTTTGGCTTCCATAGCAAAATCAGTGTGGGTTGGCACATTGTGTTCGTATGGGTCATGTAGGTTGTATGATGTGGTCGGCACATTGTCGACAACATCTTTGCACACGACGAATGTAGGAGTAGCACTAACAGATCCTGGGATGGAATTCCAGATGTGGCAAACAACCAGCAAGAAATTTCGACTACACTCCAAGCGGCTGTACTTCTCTGCCATTTCGTGACAGTGACCTCTCGCGCCGCTATTATGACTGAGCTTTAGAAAATGAGAGCACATGTGACAAGGATAATTTGGAATCTGATAAACCAGATTAAATTCACCAAGGAAGCACTGATATCATCCAGAGAAGTACGAACACATCGTCTCGGTGGGACCGTAACCGACGTCCACTATCTAGGCTTTTCCAAGACTCGACCGCGACATTATTCGTGTTTTAATCCTTAGATGAAGCGGAAACTTACTACTTCAGAGGTGGCTGCAGGTGCAGATTCAGGGCGCATTCTCTGATGTAAATGATTTGGAACGTGGTGTTTCACAAGGATCAGTGTTGGATACGCGTCTATTCCTGGTCTTTAGCTACCTCGTGTGTCATCGAGTGGGATCGCTTGCTTTTTCAAGAATGATATCAAGATATGGTGGGCAATTGGTGCTCAGGAAGATCACGAATGCGGCAACAAAATCTAGACCGTGCTGTTGTACGGTCACTTCCGTTCAGCCCGGATAAGTGTAGAACAGAGCACATGTACACCATAAACTCAATAGCACATATAGGCCGGGAGACCATCTCACATGAGCAGGACTTTGGGGTGGCGATGCAAGACAATCTCGGCTGTTCGGCGCAGTCCTTGAAGGCGTCCAAAACCGCGAGCGTTCTGGCGGTTCGACCAATCCATTTTTCTACGAATGCTCGACGCATATGTGAGGTACGCATGGTAACCCTGGTTAGTACGCAACCTGGCTGCGCTCAAGATCAAATAGCGAAGTAAACCAAAAATGTGAAGAGCATGCTTTATTTGCCATACCAACTGCGACTGGAAACTCTAGGAGTGTAGAGTGAAAAAGATCGATGTCTTCGCGACGACCGTGGCCTGACCAACCAGCATTTTGAAAATCCGTCATCTCTTGAAGCTTAACCATGACACCAAGCTAAGGGGGCACCAGGTTAAGTTGGCCGTACACAGTACATCAAGTTGGGACGTTGCCTGAACTTTTCCTTCCGGATTTGTCAGCCCATGAACGCTTTTTTGACATGTCTACGCCGATGTTATCCATTTCCAAAAACGACTCATTTGCATCATGTGACATGGCTCCCATTCATCGGATGACGACAAAAAGCAACCAAACATTGTGTGCACCAGTCCCCACGAAATCGGGATAGGCGGAGTTGTATGCGCGTCAACGCGACTATTACGATGAGTAAGGAGATAAAGTTTACTTTGCTGACAATTTTCTTCTTTGAATTTTTGTACTTCAAACGGACTATCCTATGGAACTCGTTAAGCCTGTGAGCTTTTGTACCCGTATTATGACATTGTAAGTTACCATGAATGGAAAAGCGCTTTGGCATTTTGATTGCTAAACGTTGCGGAATCTCCAAAATAATGAGATCTCGCTTTTGCCACGGATGTCAGGCTTGAATTGCACTTTCCATGTGAAGGCTTATGAGCGCAGAGAGAAGTGAGGGGAAATAGATGAAGGTAGTTGTGATGAGACGGAAAGCTCTCCCTAAGAGTCCTACATTTTTGGATGTCTCTGCTGCTACACAGAATTGCTTTTGGCAAATGAGGTCTTCATGTATCAGCATGTCGAGGTATTTTCGCGATAACAATACCGAAGATCCTAGTCGCTCAGATTATAAGTGTGAATCGTTTGGTGTTGGAAGTAGAACCCTGGACATTTAGCCACGTTGAATTCGATTAAATACTGAACCGACCATTCATAATTCTTTCGCGAGGTAGTTTTGAAGCTGAAAGCGATCATCGGGGGCACAGATCCCTCGCCAAACTTTGATATGGTCGGCACAATGCAAAGTGTTAAGTAATTAGGCTCACTAGATCGTTAATGAGTATCAAAAAAGATGGGCCCCAATACCGAGCATTGTGGTACGCCACAGCAGACTTGGATAACATCTGACACGTTCACCTCCAGATATCTGTGCGAGAGGAATTTGCTGGTCCACCCTAGGAGGGGACTACAATGGCGTATCTCCGAAGCTTAGAGATAAAGATGCATTGGTCCTCCCGGTCGAATGCCTTAGAGAAGTCAGGCTAGAAAATATCATCTACCATACCACAACCCACTGTTTCGGTCCAAGTATCTCATACCAACAGTAGATTGGAAGTGCGCGTTTGACATTGATACCATTGCTCTGGGGATTAGGTATAGCACTGAGAAAAACACCTCGTGAGAGCCCCACAAGTGTAGTACGTCAAGATTGTCCTATATCTTCGTCCTTCCTGAACTATGTCGCCGAAATAATCATAAACAAATCCCCCTGACCATCTTCTACTTAGGCCGGCATAGAAATCGTGTTACGCGACCTAGCTTCCTGGACAATACAGCTCCACTTGGATCGGACTCACTGCTACACATGCGGTGATGGACAAGCTGGTGCACGTGCTTTGCATATCTAAAATGCAAAGTACTGCCACTGAAAGCATGCAACCAGTCTTCGCACTTATAAAAGTACCGCACGAAACAGTCGATACCATTGCTTACTTAGATAGTTGCATCAACTCTAGCGGCCAGATCACACAAGAAATTACCGCACGCTTTGCAACGTGTCAATTACAGACAAGGCGAGATATAAGCCTACTAGTCAAGAGAAGGGTTTACAACGTTACGGTGCGACCTGTGTTACTGTATGGATCTGACCGACCGAGCGTGTGTGACCACCGACGCCTGCGCAATGTTGTTCACGTATATGGTGCGAGAATTTCATGAGCAGTGCTGCATTTCATCTGGTGTTTGACAAGGTAGTTGAAGAAGTAACGACTCCGCTGGCTCGGTGACGTTCACCACATGACAGACAGTCGGCTGCCTTAACATGTGTTGCTCTCCAATGGAGCATCTGGTTGGGCGAAATCCTAACTTGGCCAGTCAATGGTATGACATTCGAGCAGGGAAAAGACAAACATTGAAACCGACCCTACGAATAGGACACAACCATGTCGTCTTGTATGTGTTCCCTTATTATTGGCCCTAAACTGCCTCACTTAGTTACCACATTTCAGATTCATTCATCATTTTGAAGACGAACAACCTACTTCATTCGCTATGACTCAATACATTGGATCATCTTAGCTGATAAACCGAACCGAACGGAAGACGTGGGCGAATACACAGCAGTGTCTAATTGCGGCTTGTACAGCTCAGATGAAGCTAAATGTAATCCAAAAAAAATAACTAATGTATTGCGATCGAATGTAGACAACATAAGAACATACGAAAAACACGATTCGGCACGAGCTGGATACGCACGAGTTTCGAGAAGGACACTCACGTGCACATATGGCCATTATAAAGGATAACAGTAGGTTCATCGAAAACCATTGAAATTGCACGAAAAACAATAAAGGGTAGAAAACAAAATGAGCAAAACAGTGAAGAGAGAAAATCCGGATGACAATCTCCCAATTTCACGCTAAAATATACTAAATCAATAGAGAACAATTCCAATGGGCCAAGAAAATACTATGACCAGAAAAATATGATCGCAATCAAACCAGAGGGGAGGAAGTTGTCTGACTATGATCGGAAGGCACAAAGGTAGTTATCTGGCTCATTGATTCGTATCCACACGGAAGTCCCCGTAACACCAGATATTCTTGCGTTCTTTTTTTGCTTTCGCTTGGGCTTCAAGGTATCCGGGTAACAGTACTCGGGACGCAGGTTTGAGAAGCTGTGGACGCATGGGTTCGACACAAACCAGACCTTCTTCAAGCAGCTGATAGGCCACATCAATCCACGGAGAGGATTCCGATGAACCCGGAGTGCCAGCGCATGGCACTTTGATGGCAACTCCCGGAACCGGTTTTATGGTCTCATTTGCACAAGGGACCGGGTCAAACTGCACAGCCAATAGGACCTAGGGTGTGAAATCAGAGAAACGTAACAGACTAAAGCAATTGGGATACAAAATAGTGCACGTGTGGCCTACCAGCTCGGATGTTAAGTCATAATGAGTACGAACTGAAACCACTTGATATAACATGGAAACTATGGAAAGCTCATATGAGCAGCGCATCAATGTAAAGATAAATGATTGAGAAAAAATCGGGACGGAATGGCGAAACAGAAAGTTACAGATGTCGAGAAGTAATATGCCCCACATTCAGCCAGAAGTGGAACACGCAAGGCAGCTTCGGTAGCGTACGATGAGTTGAGTTATGCTTCAGACATCTCAGTAAGAGGCGAGTGTATTCGAAACGGATAAGAGCCAAGCTTGGCTTATGTCACCAAAACAACTAACATTACCACTGTCCCATCATGCAGACGTTCATTCAAGTTGTGGAGCACACGCTCCGGAAAAGCAGTTTGTTAACTCTGATGATTGGTAGAGCCATCGATACAATGAATGCCCAAGGCTTAAGAAAGATTAGTGAGTAAAGTAGATTAGGAAGAGATTAGTTACCGTCAAAAGTGAATTGTGGTCGCGGAAGTAAATTTACGAGACCTGCACCCGAGTGACTGGGAAACAGAACACAAAGCGATCCGTAAGCCACTGCAGACAGAAAGGATATTTGATGATGCAAAAGCCTCCTTCCTCTTGCATCATCAAATATCCTTTCTGTCTCGTCGTTAGGAGTAACAATCGACTGGAGCTAGGATCCGGCCAGTGGTGCATGCAAGACGCTGCGGAAGCAGAAAATTGATGCTGATGGAGCGTGACGCATATAGAAGCATGTCGAGGATCAACGAATCGGTGGAATATTAAAAAAACCTATTGGACACGGAGGCATGTGGTTGACCCCAGTTCGAGAACAACTTTTGCAGTCACGTAGCTGGTGGTATCATGTCAAAAATATCCCGGACATTTTAATGCGCCTATAAGAATTAATTCGAATGTCTAACAGTATAGTGAGTGGGGGAGGTTAACACTAATTAGATAGAGTTAATGTCTGGGTTCCTTTTTGATAACCGCTAAATAAGCAAAGGAGTGACAAAGAAAGTAAAGAATAATCACCTCCTTGTTTTCCACAGTCTCAGCGAAAGAGTGCTCGGCAAAGGATCTATTGGTAGCGTCTGGGGGCAGCTGTACAAAGGCAAGACGGTATTCGTGAGCTTGTGGTGGTATTGACGCCAGCGAAGAGTAAGGTAACTGGGACACACGCGTCGGGATTTCATCAATCTCAATCGTCTCCTCGTTGCCGAAGTCGACGAACTGCACCGTGATCGATTTGGGATTGCGCCGAACTACGCGCGCTCGGTACCAGCAATTGTCCAAGCTGAACGAAGCCGCGCACAGCTCCCCTTTTTTCGGCTGGTAGTTTGGGATTGGCGGAGGAGGTGGAGAATTCAAACTCTGGCTAATTTTGATAATTGTAGCCGAGTCTGAAGGATGCTGAACAAAGAATCTGAGACCCTCTGAACCCGAACCTGGCTTCGAGATTGCCGTGACTTGAGCAGGCTTCCAGTGGATCTGTAAATACATAAACAACCAATGATAAGCTTGAGTTGATCAAGAAACGGTGGACCAACTCGTCAATAACAAAGAACAATATTGCTTCGTCACCAGCGTACTTCTACTGTGACCGGCAGTAGCTGTTTACAGGGATACTCGCTAGCCTAACTGCGAGGAGTACCAAGTCTACGCCAGTCGAGAGGCTAATCACTAGACGTAGCGCTCTCACATAGACTGTCTGGGTTATCTACCACAACAATGAGCAGCAGTAACTGAGTTAACAGTAGTGGATAACGTAAGCAGTCAAAATGTCGTTACACTTTCGACGATGATGGTGGTGTTAAGATCGGCGCATGATTTCTACACTGTATGCACACGTATTACTTGTGATGGCCAAAATGCGAAGCGCATCGTAATCGCAAGTGAAACAAGGGAACATGCACAACAATTTACGACCAAAGCTAAAGCAGCACAAGCAATTTACACAAAGGACTGTGGATAATGGTGTACAAAATATCAAGCATGACAAACAACTTTGACCGAGGATTATGAACTTGTCTTCAATTCACTTTGCGATGTGACTCGTGAGGCAATGTCTATGAAACACCGAGTTGGGTGGAGCTTACAGAGCGTCGATGTGTAAATAGGCAAATAGAGTGAAACCATGTCAGTACGGGCCAGTTAGCCTATAAGTGGATGAGTCTAGAAGCAGCCAACTGGGCACAACTAACTGCCAGCATGTCGGTGTCGATTCTCTTAAGCTTGAGTGGTCAAGTGTTGACAAAATACGGAGTGTCAGTCCTAGTCTTGATGTGTGAGAATTCACACTAATCTGGTCTAATTTTGACGTCGTTTTCTCGGCTTTGTTGAGCAAGGGGGCAGAAAAACAACACCCCAAAGAATGTAGAAAAAGATTTTAAAAATGTCATGTCTCAGAAATGAGCAAAACTGCCGGGGAAAAGTTCAGTTGAACAGGCACCGGGCTGTGGATCCAGTTGCAACGACTGAATTCCCTAGCATAACATATAACAACGGTCAGAAAATCAGACCGAAGGCGAATAGAATACAAAGGACATGGAACGTGTGCCAAACTATTACGGATGGAATGAAAATTACCAGTTAGATGCAAAAAACCGAGAGTGATTGCGCGGGGAGTTCTAGTCTTTAACTATGTGTATGGACCATCCCGAGGTCCAGATTCACGAAGACAACAGGCGTCGGGCTCCCAAGGCTCTTAGTCAATTTCTTCATTCGCTAATACCTCGTGGTATCGCTTAACTTGGCGCAGAGACCGCGTATAAAGCAGGCTGAAGAAACCGGTCGGCAGGTATTCGGAACACATGACTTAACCGGCTAAGATAACAATAGAGCAAGGCCCCAAATCTATTATTAGAAACCAACTGCCGCAACTTAGCAGTGCACACTCGGTGTTCCCACCAGATGTGAATAAGAGACGAGACTGGACCTCAACATGGTGCAACGATTTGCGTAGCTCTACCACCCACTGAGCTATAATGGGTAGTGCCACCAAGAGCTAATTCTACCTGGTTAGTCAGTGGCTAGAGGTTAGACGAACTCGGTCTTCTGCTCCTCCAAGTTGTGGGTTGAAAATGGGACCGCGTTTGTTTCGGTAAAACCAAATCATTGTCACCTCTCCGCTGCCTTGCGAAGGACAAACTTTTGAGCCAAATGCTTTGTTTGAGGACCATAATCGTTATCCTAGGTAGATTTTAGCGCAGCGGCAGTGTCTCATCTCACGTATAAGCATGACTATTTTGACAAACGTCATCCACACCTTGCATCGGCAGCTTTTAAAAAGTCGCTTTATCTGCTGCATCCAGCGAGACAGGCAAGCGGAAACATACGCTACAGATCGCAGTTTCCGTTCTTCTCCAAATCTTAATAACCAACCGACACCCATTATTAACTTTTCTCCTATAATTTCCAGCCTCAATGACAATAGCCGCGATACCACCACTGGAGTTAAACCATTTGCAGCTATCTTCCCGCATCGCCTACTGGACGCTTATCAGCAACATCTAGCAAAAACGCCCTGATGGCCCGTTTCCCTAGCGGTCGTAACATGTACTCGCCTCAGTAGTATATACATATTAAAATTGGTACGCCATAGAGAAGACTAGTATGACCTATGCGAAAAGAGGACAAAGAAGTCGTGAAGCGTGTCACTTCTTTTGGCCGACCAGTGGAGGAAAGGATTAGACATTTTAAGCCGAAGGTCGGCATTGCAAGAGTGCACAGAGGGCAGTATCCTTGACCCGCGCGCCATCAGTGGTGACTGTGGGGCAGCAAACCGTCAGTGCGGTGCACTGCTGACGCATATAAACGTCCGCACCTTAAGACGAATCAGTCAACGAGCTGCACTCGCAAGAATACTGGACACACTCACGGGGTTCTTGAATTAACTGCGCCGGGTTTATGCTCTCGCTAATGATTACACGTACCCGGAGACGATGATGCGGCAACCAATGGTCAAGCCGGAGTGGGAAGATTGTTCTCAGCTCCAAGGTTGAGTCATCGCTACTTTAATGGATTCCCGTGGGCAAACTTTTGTGTGCCCGTCTGAAGACCACATAAGGTTGATTCACAAAGTAGACTTAACGTTGTTAGTTTGCGGATTCCGCTTATGCACCGACCTACTGCAGTTCTGATGCTGCACAGGACACCTTCCAATGGGAGCTGAACATGCTACTACGTAGTGTTACCAGTGACAGGGGGTATGAATGCGCAATTAGGTCTCATGAGAACTTCAGAAGCTCAGATTGGTGGCGTTTTGGACTAAACTCCGACTGGACAATGATTAACGTCTGTTCCAGCAGTGTCCGGAGCACTAGCGTTTTGTTAGTAGCACTGCTATTAGACAAAGTGGACGCCGAAATGCTACTTGGCGTCCCCCAATAGCTGGCCAGCGATGGACCCAAATAGACGACGTTGCCATAAGTTACAGTTGGCGTGGTACCATCCTACTGTTTCAGGTGTTACAATCTAATGGCTATCCAATACAGTTCATGAAGCGTTTCAGCGACACAGTGAAAGGAGAACGAGAATCTACGTTGCAAAAAAACGTTTTTCACTGAGTTGCCATTCATGAAAGTCACCGCAATACAAATAAGCGCCTCAATGAGAAAGGCATAAAATGCATGCTTACGTCCAGAAGACCACTGCATAAGTGTTAATTGGACACCGATGCCGAAGCAGTGTACGTACCATTGTTTATACAAATCTACATGCAGCTATGGAGACAGATAGGTTGGGCGCACTGATCGAAATCTAGGTGTCCGGAACAACGAACACATTCCGCAAACGGATGGAACATGCAACAGTTTCACCGAATGAATCGAGTAGCAAGGCTGCCTCAGCGATTACGAGCCATTTGATGAACAGTGGTCACCAGGTAAACCTGGATGAATCCTTCAAAGTAATCATGCGCAGTCAAAGGCCTCACATTTTCGAGGTCATTGTCATCGATCGACAGCGCCCGACAATCTGCGTTGAAAAACAGCTGACTGTGACGCTAAGCCTTCCGTGACAGACAGTAGCGCACAATCGTAATCCTGTTGATCAACAATTGGACTTAAGTCATATTAATTTGGTGTCTTTGTTATTTGCATTTATGTGGCCGACGAGAATGCACGAAATGCCAGTGTCAAACAACAACATACATCTTCTGATATTCTTATTTAGAACTATAAATAAAAAGCTATGTTGCAAATTTCGTTATGAAATACCTACGTGGTACCCTGTCGTTTTTCCATGAATTCTAATTGGATGCGCACCAAACGTCTCCATCGATTAGCAACTGAAGAATTATTCCAGTCCTAGGTCAGGTAAGCCTACCAGGATTCCCTGTGTACCATGTTTCGCTCTCTCGTCCTAATGACACTGAGATTAAGTGGAATAAGATTTCGGCTGCCACGCACTATGCGGGAGCCTCAGTTTACAGCACTATCCATCACCACTGCATCAGTAACTGGATATCCGAGATGTTGGTGAACCTGTTGGAGTCCAGAAAACTCCCGACTGGGTCTGTGCACAATGTAGCCCGAGGGATTATTACGCACGAGCACAAACGGAGCATTCGTGCTGAGAAGACAACTTGGTGGACCAGTAGGGCTATAGGAATGGAGCAGGCGAGAGCAATAAGCACTTATCGCAAGACCATCCTAATGATACTCACCACTGGTCCCAGGAAACCAAACAGTGAAACAATCAGACAGCGGGAGTGCCCTGGTGTACGATAAGGAGCGCCGAATGGTTCATTGGGGTGAGCATTTTCGGTGAAGCAGGCTTAGCCATCGGGGAGCGTGGTTCAAGACGGATCACGGATCGAACTGCTAGTCCTGATTCCCTCGCACGCACAATATTTAAGGATGGTTAGATCATCTGCAAAGCATTGGCCACTCTGTTCGAACAGATCTGGAAGAGACCATGCCAGCTAACTGGAGTGAAGTGATTATAGTGGTAATATACAAGAGCAATCGCACTGACTGTGTTAACCAAAGATTTTACCCCCTAACGCCGGTAGCCTCATTGCTAATTCTTCGCCTCACTGCGAAATGGGAATCCCGGATTAGGGAAGAGCAAGCAGGTTTCGGCCCCAAAGAGACCATACAGGCCATATATTCTCTCTCTGGAGCAAGTGCTAGATCAGTGCCACATGTGCTGCAGACCGACAATAGCTGTTGCTGGACTTCAAGAGTGCGTTCGACTCAATCGATCAATCCATTCTATTTGGATAATTGTGCAGAAAGGCGTTTCCATCAAATAGGTGAGCAGTTAACTTACCACATACCCGAACACCACAGACCGGTCAGAGTCTACGGTGACTTAACAGATACCTTGCCAACGATAAATGATGTTTGTCATAGTTGCCCAATTTCCCCTATTTTTGTTAAACGTCGTCGTGGACTCCATCATCCAGTGTTCCCTTGCGGAATATCATAATGCATGCATTAAAATGCTGCCTGGTGGACAGCTAGTTGATCTTGATTATGCGGATG